ATATATATATTTACTTACGTACACTTTTGTCACTCTTCTCGTTGGATCTTATCCTTTCGATCTTTCAACTTATTTTCTTCGCACTTATTTTTCAACATTGCTTTCCTCTTCATTCTTCTTAATGCTTTTTCCTTCTTCTTTTAATTTTCTGTCATCTTATATCGATAGCACATTAGTATCCTTTATACTAATAATAATAAATCGTTGTCTTTTTATAATTTATCCATTCGAATTAAAATTTTATCGATGATAGTTTAAATATAATTGCAAATGAGATTTCAAACTTTTTGCTTATTTATGCAATTTTACGATTTAATATTTCAATTATTTTTAATAAACCTCTTTGTTCATTCCAAAGAACAAAAAACTTAATATTTACGTTAGAGATGAATTTATCGTTTCGTTGCACGCTTTCTCTATTATCTCAACGCATATTTCATGTCTATTTCTTCCCTATTATTTATTTGTGCGCTTCCAACGTCGTTCTATCTCTTATATCCTCTTAATTCCTGTTTCGATTCCATAGTTTTTTTTCCATATCTCTTATTATTTCCATCACTTTTTATATCTCTTGTTATGCCATTCTTTTCTGATATATCTTTATCGTTCTTGTCAAGAGTTTCAAAATATTTTAATAATTCTTGAAATAATAGAACTATTTTTGAGATAGAAATAATGTACAAGGATGCACAGAAAACCGAAATCGATCGTTTATCGATGTTGTCAATCATAGAAGGAATACTACGCGTTTCTGTCTGTTCTTTCGATTGCATAAGCAGAAACGTAAATCGGCATTTTGTACCACGATCAAGTGGAATGATCAAGTTTCGATTGCTCGATATTACAGTCGAGAACACGTTTGTAGAAGCGTAGAAGTTTCCATAGCCGTTACACTTTGCAGTAAAATGAGGCGAATCGGAAAACAGTGGCAAATATTTGGAAGCTCGAAATTTTATAAAAATTATGTTTCACTTTTAAATAACATAATCGATATTTTCATTGTATTATTTATAATTGCAGTAATTTTAAAAATTTAATATAGATATGTAAAAAAAATTTTGTAATTTATAAATTTGTAATATAGAAAATAGATGTAAAATTTTATAAAAATTTTCTATCAAATCCTTCGTTATATAAAATGCAAATAAATATATCAAGTATGGCATTTGCTTGATTTGACAAATAAAGATTACTTCGTAATACTATTGTTAAATCCAATGCATAATGAAGTTTTTTACATTCCAAATGCTATGGCCTGATAGTTAAGATCTATTGAATATTGTCACGCAAAGTTTTGACTATCAATTCTGTAAGCAATAAATTATTTTTGCTGTCAGTTTTATTGTTTCACTTCATAAAATCGATCTGTTACAAAAATCCTATTAAAATTCTATTCCTGTTTTTAATTAGATAATCATTCCATTCGAATTTACCAAATAAAACTTTATCTTCATAAAAAATTATAATCAACACGATATATCGGTTACTTTATATATCACAATTAATATATTTATCTCAAATATTGTTATAATTCATTATTCATAATTATAAATTGGTAGGATCATATCGAGAAATAGAAAGATAAATTGCACATTTGATAAATCATGTTTCAACAGATGGATAATAAAATGTGCAATGAATCGCAAATTTTCTGCCATTCGTAAAATCGAAGATGCTGTAATTGAGCTATTTCAATGAAATCCATTGATAGTAGATTTACGGATGGCTCAACCGATATATTTCGCCATTAAGATAAATCTTCTTCCGCTCGAGATCGGCTTCAATTAGTCCTGCTATTTCAAGATATTTAGACAATGGTTAAACTAGGAAAATAGTTAAGCTAAAAAGTTAAACCTATAGATAATGACATATTATAAAGACAAAATAAAGAAAAAAGATAATGAAACTATAAATATTAATTACCTATCATCATTTTTGCCAATCTATTTGATCTTCTCCAAGTGAATAAATTTTTGTAAACAAATGATAATAATTTTTTACTTTCATTTGTTTTTGATTCTATTCGGTCAAAGAAAATGTATGTTGCAATTTATTGTATTTAGAAATAGAAAAAAATGAATATATATACATAACGTAGCTAGAATATAGAATAAAAATTATTAAATAAGATATTACGATGAAGTAATAAATATTTCTCATTGTTACATTAACTAGCAATTGATGAACGTGACTTTTACAAAATTTTATTTCTTATAGAAATATTTAAAAAACATTGTAAAAGTAAAATAGATAATTTTTACTAACTAATCGCGTTAGTTAAAAATTAATTTCGATACAATTATTTTTTTTCAAATTGACCACATACATTTTTTTTAATTAGAAACAAAGTTTGATGGATGAATGATTAATGACGATAAATAATCATTACAAATTTTCGTTTTCATTCATTGTATTCATTGACAACAAGAAAACAGTAATTAAAATTTGTACAAAACACGTATTTAAATACTACAAACTATCTCGATCGTATCGATCGTTCCTCCATATTGCCATCAGTGTGATGCTACGTTGTGTGCAAAGTTAACAATGTATATATACATCAGACCCTGCTCTTATTAATTATTAGTTTAGCATATAAATTACAAACACGCAGATATTATAAAATCGAGTAAATATTTTTGATAAAAAATTCACAATAAATATAGTACCTTCAATAGCAATCTACATCTCGTAGAAAGAAAGAAAACATAAAAATCTTAACAAAATTCTAAAAAAGAAATTCTTTGTCGAACGATAAAATGCAATGAAAAAAAAATATATATATTTAAAAAGATAACATTAAAAATAAAAAAAATATCTTTCTTATATAGGATTGTATACAATATGCACTTATGCATTCTATATAAATTTGTGCATTATAAAATATGAAGCCCTTCGTGCATTTATCCTTGTATATATGTATAATCGCTTAATCTTAATTGCAACAATTTGTATCAACATTTTTCCATCTGTTATATATATATATATATATATGTATGTATATATGTGTGTGCAATACGTATAATTACACTTTAAAATTGCTATAAAATTCTAGCTATATGTGTATATGAATTTCGCAAACAAATATTTCCTATAAAAAATATTCACCATATTATACAACATACATTAATAATAGACAAAAACCAAACGATTTGTACAGTGATCTACGAAAGCTCCTAATTAGTAGAAAATTTTGTTTATAAAATAATTCGTGCATTTATCTAAGGAACAGTTTACAAACTCTCAATCTTTATCGCGCGATATAATTAAATGATAATAATTTATCTTTAAATATCTTATTGTATAATAAGCACTTAAACGCAATTAACGTGTAGAACTGTAGTTTCTTGATCTTGTAATTGTATAGTCACACATTATGGATTAACAAGATTGTTAATTAATATCACGATAGTTACATCCATATTCACGATATCTTAATATTATTTTTCAAAATTTTAACTTACATATATTTGAAAGTTAAAAAATTTACGTGAAAACGCTTCTTGAAAATTCATTTTAAAAATAAATAAAATTATAACATATACGTCAATTTATTAAATTTCATAAATTTCATAAAAATGCATTTTTGAACACTACACCTGAGATTTCGATGCGTCTTAAGGTGGGTGTATCTTAACGTATTATATTTTAATAGGCAACGGTACAACACTTTCCATTCACATGATTTGATATACGGTAATATAGACCCATTTTATTGTTCGAGTAAACATTATAGGATCCGTTCGTTTTACGAATTAGAGATTATATCTTTATTCCACTTGGTGTTCGTTCACTTAGGCTATCTATGATTTTTTTTTCTTCCATACTACGTCTTTAAATAGTTTTATCTACTTAATATAATGTAATATAATTGTATATTGTTATATGAAGTAAAATATAATTTATTTGTTTCAAGCTATATTTGTGCAAATGAAACGGCATTTCTTTGAAAATGTTATGAAAAGATTTCCAAATTTTATAAGTGAAAAATGTTTCGTTTGTCAAATTAATTGATTTGTTCGTTCGTATCGTTCATAGATCCAAAGACGTAATAAATAGTACTTACATAATACTTTTGAATAACTTTTGGATAATTTTTAAAAAAGAGTTTTTTTCTTTTATATAGATCAAATTGTTGTTTCTGTATAATTCTGTATAATCCTGTTAAAAATACTAGAATGTTCATCTTACAATATGCAATACCTTAACGCGGACACTAATCGCTGTCTTCGTAAAATGTATCCGGCGTTAAGGAAGCTTCCTGCTATTCTTCGTCCACAATCTCGCAACTGTGATACTTGCTCGATGAATCTAACCAACTTTCCACACCACTGGATGCCAAATCGTCACAGGATGGCATTTCAGGAAGCGGTTCCATGTTTGGTACTCCTTTCTTCGATAGATTATTTGCTGGACGATCTTTTAAATTAGAAATACCTGCGGAAATTATTAATTATTTAATAATTATAGATTATTAATAAAATGGAACATATTTACAAATTATTATTTCTCCTTTCTTTGATTAAAAATTACAAATACAAAGGATTACCATTATCGGAAGACAAAGATGATTCCTTTCTACGAATCAATGCTTGTCTGGATGCTCTTGGACTTCTATATTCGCCGCTAATCGTCAATCCTGCACTAATCGTTGGAAGTCTTATATCCAAATGTGATCCTTTATCTGTAACAATCTAACCAAAAATTAGGCTGAGAACGAGATGTTCTCGAGACGATAGTCTTTGATTCGATTCAATTGTAGATGAAAAAATCTTGACAATTTTATTAGTAATTAGTAACTACTGTTACCTTATTGTTCATAGCGTATAATTTTGTCGCGATGTCTCTGGCAACCAGCGTTGTTAGAACTGTCGCGAGATATGCTTCTTTTACTAAAAGATATTCTAGCGCAGATCTTTGCCAATATAAATATCTGCACGAACTTGCGGCAACAATCGTCACCTAAAGAACAATTAAACTACAACTATTTCAAATAATACCCCTACTTTTTTCAATTTTTTATTTACCTTAAATTTGTCATCGACGGATGCTCGAGAACTCTCGAATTCCGGCGAATCTAAAAATTCGCAAGGTAGAATAGGATGTAAGAAATTCGAATCACTAAGAACATTCACTTTGCCGCTCAGCAATAATCCCAATCTGTCGGTACGCGTTAAATTTTGCATTGCGTACGCTTCACCAGCGTGCAAAGACATTATCGATGCAAATTCTGGAGATACCAATCTTTTAAATTGCAGCCGAGATACCTATTTTTAAAAGAAACGTCAACCAACTTTTATTTATAATCATTGAACGACGCAATGATTCCTTATAAACTTTCTTTTCTTTGAAATTTCATTTTACATAGTCAATGTTTACGATGTTCTCTCATCATAAATATACATCATAAATATTATTTTGTTACGAGAATAATATTTAAAAACTTTTGTCACATTTAAATTAATAATAGGAAAACAACAATATTTTACGTTAAGAACATTCGATAATAATCTACAGACACGCGAAAGGAATTGAATCGCGTGAGTAATCATTGTTTTTTAATATGTTCACAAACTTTTCAAAGTACTCACTTTAAAGGGATAGAAAAGCGTATGATACGCTTCCTCTAATTCAGGGTCGAATCGGACCGGTCTCATTTGATAAACGATATAAACCAATTGACCGATGTTTAGCACCAAGAAACTGAAGTTCCAGGAGAAAATATCCGGTGCGCAAATCACGTGCCATGCCCAACCAGATAATAACATAAAACCTGAAACAAAAGAATTCGAAACGTTATTTAATTTAAATTCTAAATACCCGTAAAATCATTAGTCGTTAAAAGAATAATAAATCAATTTACCTATTATTAAAACAGAATGCATGAATAATATCCCTTTTCTAGAGGAGGGCGCCGAATACGACAACGCAAAGCAAAAATTCGCCAATTGAAATAATATATGCTGCGGTTGTTGCCACAAACACAATGCCGTGTTACCTGAAAATAGTATAAAAAAAAAAACAAACAAAATTGTGTTTTAAAAAATTTGTACACTTTAATAAATTACAGATTACAGAAATTATATACGAGAAAAATAAAAATATAGCGTTAAATTTTACCTAATGCGGTGATATTATACGAGGGAAGAGGGTCGTGTCCAAGTCCAGGACTCATGTTGACTAAATCGCTATCGATGAATGATGTAAAGGGAAAGAGAAGAACGATGAATCTCTAACAGCTACTCGTTCCTAGCGTCCATGCTCACTGATTTGTTTTGGTGAAATTTACCAGTCTCGAAGCAGGGGCGCGGCGTATGCCACCCCCTTTGGCGCTTGCGTCAACTCTTAAGATCGATTCGTTTCCGTGTTGATGATGCAAATGATTTTCAACAAGTTATATCCATCGTAGGCAAGTTAGAAACTCGTTGATAAAGTTGATTGTACAGATCGTATTTTTATCGCGATAGGATAGATGATTTTTCAGATAGATAAATTTAAAAATTAATTTCATCATACGTTTATGATGTCATTTGAAAATTGAATATTTGCAAAAGAAAATAACGTTATTTGAAAATAATAAAGTTAAAATTCCAATTTTTAAAATTGGAATTTTTAAAAAATTCAATATTTCAATATCAATATTTATTAAATATATCATAATTCTTAAAAATTAAATCGATTCAATTTCTCTATTTCTTTTTTTTCCACCATTAATATTCTCCTAAGAATTTGAGAAAATTTTAAAAATCTTACCATTCTTTCTTGAAAATCTCTTGTGAATACTTATTAGAAACTTATTAGAAACATCTGTTTCTCGTCATCTAAGTTTCCTAATTTTATATTCTCCAGTAAATTTTTCAACATTATTTAGAATATTATGATGACGTATTTTTAAATCTGAAGATAGTCATTTTTTAGCTTTTAAATTATTTTTAGGATTGTGTTACACTAAACTATGCTGCTGAAATCAGTAAAAATGTCAAATAATGAATGAAATCACATAGCCACGAATATCAAAGATTGCTAAGGATACCTTTCTTTAACTAATGGAAAATTTGTACATAGAAGAATTTGAAGCGCGAATATATCATAATGTACGTTATTTTGAAATCCAACTTTGTGACTGATCGAACCATAATATTATATCTTTGTCATCCTTTTTATATTAAATATTAAATATCATTTAATAATCTTTTTTCTTCTTTATAATTATAACAAATATTTTTCGAGTTAATTTTTTATAAATACAAGAATCATAACCATAATGATCAGCTATTAAATAGTAAGAATGAAAAATCATACTTTCTTCATTTCACTTGATCCAATTCGCATCTTGCACTATGAAATGAACATCAATATTGCATTGAAATCGCATAACTTGTACAATATAATTTATTATTCGACATAATATACGCAACATAAATCGTTATATAATCTTTATATCTTCGAATAATTATTCGTTGAATCAGGAATTAATCTAAAGGATAATCGATAAAACATTCTTCAAAATCTATAGAAAATTATCAAATAAAAAATTAATGATGTATTTGATGAAAATTAGGTTAAAACAAAATATATATATATATATATTAAATAGAAAATGAAAAATTAATAATGCAAACAAATATGTTATATTAAGAAAAAAAACAAATAAAAATGAGAAAATATCAAAATATACGAGAATAATAAACGAAATAAAAATTCGAAGCAAAATTCACAATGATTACTGAAACGATATCTGACACCATCGAGAAAAAGTTGTAGAAAGAGGGTCAACGTCTCGAACAATCGTTCGAGCAAATATACGCGTTCGTCAACCCAATAGAAGATTGCATCCGTCGCGAGAGGTCGCAAGCATACGCTCGGCCGCTCGGTCGTAATACACCGACCGAGGTTTCATCCGACTGTTCAGAAATCTACATTCTCGTGGATGCATCATCGGTCAAGACCGTGCAACGCTACGGTAGGTTTGGGGAAAAATAGACGGTCGAGACTGGCCTGTCCAATCGGGTTTACGGACCACCATCGTCTATCCCGATAGCACATGCGCCTTTCACCCTTGGCCAGAGGCTACGCCAGCAGATGACACTGCGATTTCACCCCAGCTTCTTCCTCTCGCTCTCCTCTCGCCCTTTCTTCTTCTCTCCCTTCGCAACTCTCTCTGTCACCGTGTCCCGTCCTAGTGGCTAGAAGCGACCACGGAAATACGTGCGATACCACGCGGATTTTCCAGCCTCTCCATCCCGTCGATACCGGTAAGTAAAATCATACCAATTCAACCTCGGTCGAAACGATTTTACGAGATAACGAGACGCGATTAGAGATTCATCTTGAACCTAGAATAGAATATCCTATAAGAGAGCAACGCGGAAGTTAATCAGAGCCGGCCGCTTGCCGACATATTGATTCGGTGCAAATCCGCCCTGTGCATATATTTCGCGTTATTTCACCAGTAATCAATCAATTCGATATTTTTCCAGTTGATTCGTTCCGTATACATGATTTTATATCAAAGGATATTGGTAGAAAGAAATGATCGGTCGGGTAGAATAGCAGTAGGCGAGGACCGGGGACTTGGCGAGAAGTGCGCCACTAGTTGGTTATCGCGGCCATTACGCGAGCGGTCGAAGGCGATCGTTGCGCGACGGTATTGCACCAGTTTGATTCGTGTTCGTAAGACGAGATCGAATCATCGCTAATCTTTTTATCTTGTGTTCAATTTTCCAAAATCCTGTTGGAAAATAGGTAAGCATATAAGAATTCGTTTTAACAGTGGACCGGCTGTTTCATCTCGCCTTAACCTCTTTACCCCTGAGCAGCAGTTGCATCATACGAGTTTGCGTATCGAAATGTCGCGAAACGTGTTATACGATTCTAGGATCGGAAAATTGGGATCGATGAATCGTTGAATTCTTTCGAGAAATTCTCGAATATTTACTTAGTAGTTCGATAGGCGATGCAAGAATCGCGAGCTTGAAATTGTTGGTCGCGAAATGGCTGCTTCGCTCGGTCGCTCCGACTATTATTAGAAGAGGCCGGCGTATGCGAATCGTTGCACGCTATCGAACGTGTGCGCTTCATTAGCGTGATTCTGCGGGATCGTTGAGTCGTTCGAGTTTTATTCTATCTAAAAAATTCGTGGAAAAAGTGAAAATGTGAAAGAAGAAGAAAAAAATAAATGTAATAATTTAAAAGAAAAAGGTGATAACGATAAATAATAGAATTTAAAATAACATCGATCGAAAGTGGAAATTGGATCGCGAGAATCAATTTTTTGTCGAGTGAAAATTAAAACAGAAAGAGAATCTGATCTTTTTTTTTTTCTTTTTTTTTTTTTGTTAGGACTCGAGTGAATAAGCGCGCATACTCGTACCGATGGTATTTTCGATGTGGCCCGCATGGGGCCCTTTCGTCGAATCAATACCCTTCGCGGTTCGCCAACTAGCCTCCGTTGACACGTAAATATTAATTGTTCCTTCGATAGTCGATAACGTACAACGAACTCTGTTCGAACGAGCAATTACGAAGAGATTCGAAGTGATGTAAGTTAAAATGCAATAATCCGGGAGGAATCGGATTGTAATCCGATCGAGTAATCGTGACCGCCCATCGCGATCGAGTATTTACCGTGAGGGGAAAAGTGTTACGGAATCCATCGATCATGCTAACCCAATGAAACTTCACTCGTTTTCTTTTTTAATAATCAAACATTCGCATCTAATAATATATTTTTAACGAAAATTATAAGATTCGATTATTTTGCGTTATTCGTCAAATTATTTTATAGAAGATGTTAATATTAACCAGATGTAACGGATCTTAGAGTGAATATTTGAAATTTAATCGAAAAAAATGAACAATTTTTGTTTTGTTCCTTGGAGAAAGATAGTTACAGCGTGGGGGATGTGTTCTTGAAGGGTTGCTGTTCAATTTGTAAGTCTTTATCAACACTCTTTTACGCAACGAGGTGAGAATACGGATAGGATAAAGTCAAGCAGTTTTTTTCAGAACGTTTGTAATACGAAACCAAGTATCTCGTATAGGTTTTAGAAAAAATTATATCTAACTTCAAATTTTCGTGTAATTTAGCGATCGAATTGAAATTTTTTCCTAGAATTTGTTGAATATAATATTATTATTTTCGATATTTTTTTTTTTATGTATTTCATCTAAATTATTATTAGATATATTTAACTTATCCAATCTTCTTAGATATCATCTTGATAAATTTTCAATTTGATAAATTTCAAATCATAACGAATGTTTTACGAGCTTAATTTCATACATTCATTGCAAACGCAAATTATTCTAGATAGCTATATGATTCGTTGAATTCGAGCAATCGATACAGCTCCTTGTCACTGTGTGAAGCGTACACATAAACGTGTCAACGCAGGAAACGTTTGTTACGTAACTGATATTTGAGTACTTTTTTCAATGAATACAAATAATATTTCTCGTGACTTAAAATCATGAGCTGAAAAAAAAAACATTGTTTCGAGTTTATCATATTGCATATACTATTGTATTTATAAAAAAAAATAAGATGATAAATTGTCATAGAAAAAAATTCTTTAATAGATTGTAAAAATGACTTAAATGACAAATTTATACAATACTTTATATATTCTTATTATGGAATTCAATTTCTTAAATTTTCAATAGAGATATGTATTAATTGTTTTTACACGTTCAATTGTTTAATATTATTTGTATAAATGTTATAAATGTTATAAATATATTTAATTTGAAGATGTAATATTTCTATCGTGTGACAAAATGAAACACAAAATTAAGACAATTACGATCACGCAAAATTTGTCAACGAAAAACTGTTGCCGACCATCTGGAATATCTGGTATGCCAGTAGTATAGACAAGCGTACGATCAGCCGCGATGATCCGTACGGTTGGTCGCGAATCAATGTTTCGACGTATTCCCATCCGAATAACGAATAATCCTTTCCGTGATATCGAATTCCAATCAATCATTAATGACATGCATCGTCAATTATACGTAAATGAACAGGGATATACACGAGATGGATTCGGTAAATCCAGTGATTTCTCGTCTGTCTTTCTTGGTTCGCATTCAATCATAAAAATTGACTATATAAAATGAATCAATGATACGTACATATTATTTGTAAAAAATATTCGATATGTGAAATTAATGTAAAAATAATGGTCACGTTAGAATTTCAAATTTCGAAGGAATCGGTATAAAGTTAATTTAAAATAAATTATCGATTAAAACATATATATGTGCATCTGGGATCTATCTTTGGTCGACGGTCAAGCTTATTTATATCGTGTCAAAAGAAAGTTGTAATCGAGAGTAAAAATCTTAAAAGTTTGGTGTAATTAAAAAAAAAAAAAAAAGACGATTATTTTTATACGGATAAAATATCGTTAAAGTTTCTTTTTTCTGTCTCTCATAATGAAAAGTATTAACATTGCGAAAAGAATATCGCGCGGGACGCCTAATCTCGTTTCCACGAAGCGAGGCAGAAATCGATAGCGAAAACCGAGTATTCACGTAGGTGGTAAATTTTGCAGGTAGCTAGAGCGTCGACATGGGTAAGGAGAAGATTCATATAAACATCGTGGTGATCGGTCACGTTGATTCGGGCAAGTCGACGACTACCGGTCATCTGATTTACAAATGCGGTGGCATCGACAAGCGCACGATCGAAAAGTTCGAGAAGGAGGCTCAAGAAATGGGCAAGGGCTCGTTCAAGTACGCCTGGGTATTGGACAAGCTAAAGGCTGAACGCGAGCGTGGTATCACGATCGATATTGCCCTGTGGAAGTTCGAGACTGCGAAATATTACGTGACGATCATCGACGCGCCTGGGCATCGCGATTTCATCAAAAATATGATCACCGGGACGAGTCAAGCCGATTGTGCCGTGTTAATAGTCGCGGCTGGTATTGGTGAATTCGAAGCTGGTATATCGAAGAACGGACAGACGCGCGAACACGCTTTGCTAGCGTTCACGCTTGGGGTTAAGCAGTTGATCGTTGGAGTGAACAAGATGGACATGACCGATCCCCCATATTCGGAGGCTCGTTTCGAAGAAATTAAGAAAGAGGTGTCATCGTACATCAAAAAGATCGGTTATAATACAGCCTCGGTTGCGTTTGTACCGATCTCCGGATGGCATGGGGATAACATGTTGGAACCCTCGCCAAAGACACCGTGGTACAAGGGATGGAAAGTGGAGCGCAAAGACGGTAACGCTGATGGAAAGACCTTGATCGAAGCCCTTGACGCTATATTACCGCCGTCCAGACCTACCGATAAGGCTCTCCGTTTACCGCTTCAGGACGTTTACAAGATCGGTGGTATCGGTACTGTGCCGGTTGGTCGGGTGGAGACCGGTATTTTGAAACCAGGTATGAATATTAATATTAAGAACGAGATTGTTGAGCTAAGGGAACTAAGAGAATCGGAGAATCTTTCGTTTCTCGGATTTGTGAAAATTTATGAAATTATTATTAATTATTTTGCTTTAAAATACTGGAAGAAATTTTTGTAGTTTTTGATCGAAGTTTGCTATCGAATCACGCATCATTAATCTAGAATTTTGGACGCAGGTATGCTGGTAACATTCGCTCCAGCAGCGCTCACCACCGAAGTGAAATCGGTCGAGATGCATCACGAGGCATTGACGGAGGCGTTACCCGGGGACAACGTCGGGTTCAACGTGAAGAACATCTCTGTGAAAGAGTTGAGGCGTGGTTACGTGGCGGGAGATTCGAAAAATCAACCGCCACGGGGGGCAGCCGATTTCACAGCGCAGGTGATCGTCCTCAATCATCCTGGACAGATCAGCAACGGTTATACGCCTGTGCTCGATTGTCACACCGCTCATATCGCTTGCAAATTTGCGGAGATCAAGGAAAAATGCGACCGTCGTACAGGAAAGACCACCGAGGAGAATCCGAAGAGCATCAAGAGCGGAGATGCCGCGATCGTAATGTTGCAACCTACTAAACCGATGTGCGTCGAAGCTTTCCAAGAATTCCCTCCGCTTGGTCGCTTCGCGGTTCGCGACATGCGTCAGACTGTCGCTGTGGGCGTGATTAAGGTACGCTTCTCTCCGCGTATTCATCTTTTTTCACTATTCTTTTCTTTAATTTCAACGTGAAATCACGCATCGACGAATTAAAATCGATATATCAATATAATATTTTTCCATTTCTTTATAAAATATATCTTTTCCGCTTTCAATCGTGTTTAAAATATTCGCCAAAGACTTTTAAAATCGTCGAAAATTCGCCGATTCGTGATCAATTTGAAAAAAACTGGAAAGATTAATCGATACAGGTCGCTATTCACCTTTGATATTTGATAATTTTCAATGACTCAAATGTCATGGCAACATGACAAAAGTATAATGACTTTTCTCGTTTTATTCCAGGCCTCTGACATCTCTTCGCTCTTGTTATGCAATCTAATTTCGGGTATAGTAAACCATCAGAACTTTGTTTCCGCGATACAAAAATATTTTTTCAATTTGTCGTAAAAGGAAAAAAGATTACAATCTATAATAATAATAATAATAATAATACATTTCCAATAGAATTAATAATTACTTTTATACAAAAAAAATAAAAAATAAATTTTCAAAATAACTTTTTGATATTTCGCCAATATTTCGTAAAGAATATTTTTGAATTTTGAAGAAAGTTATAACAAAGAAATTTTAGCATGATTAAAATTTAGAAGATGAATTATTTTTTTAAATATTATAGAGAATACTTCATCAGGATATAAAGAAAAAAAAAAAAATGACGTTCAACCGATAATGTGAAATATTTGGTAAATATTGGTGATAACGCAACATCAATTGTGATAAAAAAAAAAAATAATAACAAATGGAGCACGCAATTTATCAATTCGAAGGAACGAATACGCCATATTTAACGATGCAACTGATAACTTGAGCATTTGGATATGAAATAAACATTTGAAATACATGATATATCAATGGAAATTCTTTTCCATTGATATCGATGATATAACACGCACGAACTATAACGTAAAAATTTTGGAAAAAATATTAACATTAAAATTTCTTATATTTCGTAGAGTGTCACCTTTAAAGATACCCAGGGCAAGGTCACAAAGGCCGCGGAGAAAGCCCAGAAGAAAAAGTAACCATCAAGCTTCCTCGGAAGCTCGCAGTCCGCCGGCTGGTGCCCGACGAGTGTCTCCTCCGCGAGGAGGTCCTTGGATAGGATGCAGTGTGCCGCGGCTGCTCCATTCAACTCATACTCGACTAATAATAATAATACAAAAAATGAAAAGATGTTGTGCTTACCCCCGTTACATTATCCGGTAGTATTGAATCCGCGCATCTATCCGAATTTGCACATTCAGTTCACCCATGCCCCGCGCACACCCCACATATGCTAGGTGGATTCTTACGTTTTTACTTAATTCTTTACATTGACGAATATGTGTCCAATTACAGGTAAACAACCATTTAAAGATGATAAACGTATATAAAGTAAAAAGAAAAAAAAAAAAGAAAAAAAAAGAAAACAATAATAACTACTACG